CATGGATTGTGGGCCTGGGTGTGAAACCTCCCTAAGCCTCTACTTTTCTCTGTGAAATGAGAGCAACCACACCCCACCTGATAGGAGTGTGGTGAAGACCAGATAAGAAAAGGGCACATTTTTTACCCCATCTCTATGGCAAATCCAGGACGGGCGAATCCACAGACAGAAAGCGGATCCGTGGCTGCCAGGGTTTGAGAGGAGAGAGGACTGGAAATTGCCTCCCAATGAGTTTGGGTTCTTTGGGGAGTGATGGTTGCCCAGCCTGGTGAACGTCCTAAATGCCCCCGAGTTTTCCTTGTATACTTTAACATGGTTAAAAGGGGGAATTTCATGTTAGGCATATTTTATCAAGATTTATTTTTCAGTTGGGATAGAGGGACACCGGCTGAGGCCCTCCACCCCGCTGAGCCTCAGTTTCCTCATCTGCAAAATCTCCATCATGGGTGGCTGTGCACATCACAGCTGTTGGTCCCTAGGAAAGGCAGGCTTGTGGCGACGCGCCATCCCCGCGCTGACAGGCCGTCTCCCCTGGGTGGCCAGGAGACCCCCACCACAATGCGGACGGGGCAGCCGATCTGAGGCCATCTCGGCCAAGTGCCTGCACTCAGCAGCCGGTTAGCAATCTGTCCCCTCAAGGCCCAGGCAGGTCCACGAGGAAGCCTGTCCCTCCCATCCTGACACAGCAACACACCAGGCTGGAGCGGGTCGTACTTTAAACCCCAGCAGCCTGGCCTGAGCAATTGGACGCTGCGCGTTTAATTCTGCAGGTAATTTGAACAATGCTATCTAATTTCAAATGTCCCTGCTCTTATGAGCGCAAAAGCAGCGTAATTTTTAATTAGTGGGTAAACAGTAAATAATGAATGGCAGTAAGTGGACACCACTGTTAATTAAAAATCCATGGTTGATAAAAATCAATTTGGCCCACACGCTTAACTCAGTCTATCAGGTCCCTGCGAAAAGTTGCACAGCCCGGCCCCAGCACCATCTGCTCGCAGCCGCTGTTTCTTCAGTTAGTACTTTTCTAGGGGGTTAAAAAAAAGGAGAGAGAAGACAAGAAAATCAAAAGACTCCCTCAAAAGCTGCAGCTGAGGAAACTGCATGTATTCATTGGGAGCCGGGGGATTTTTGCCGCCCTGACGCGGCCGGTTCCCACTGGGGGCGCTGGGGGCGCTGGCATGTTCGCTCAGGGGCTCCCACGGAGCTCGGGCTGTGTGATTGACCGAGTGTACGGGGTGACGCTGGTCAGTGACACTGCACAGGGTCAGGTGTGCTCGCGCCCCACGCCCCTCCCGTCGCCGGTTCCCCCTCTCCCTGCCCTGCCCTCTGTGTTTTCCGTTCCTTGTGCGTGTTCCGAGCGCAGCGAGACTTCACCGTATCACGTCGTCTCCAGACTTAATTGGACCCTAATTTCTCACAGAGAAACAATTCAAACAAGGCACTGACTGCAGCAGCGCCCCGAGGAGCCAGCCAGCGCCCCCAGAGAGGGCCCGGCCACACGAGGCCTCCCCGGACAGAACACTTTCCTCGAGAAGGACGCCGAGCGCGGGGACGCAGCGCCGGCCCCAGCCCACGCCTGATTCGGCTGCGAGGCCCGAGCGCCAGTTCCCCAGCCGCCCCCACGCTGACCGCCCCTCGGGCCTTCGCTGCCCTCTACTCGAATGGTTCCCCAAGTGAACACTGGGGACATGCTCCAGTGACGTGGGTGGTGCTCACAGGGACCTGCAGGCCTGGACGCCCGGACCCAGGTCTCCAGATGGGAAGGCGTGAGCCGTTGGCGCAGAACCCGTGCACCTCGCTCAGGACCCCGACACGGCCACGCGGGGAGTCTGGCGCATCTTTGATGCCCACGCACCACAGTGTCCCGGCTCCCTCCCCGCAAAGTTCAATGTGCCCAAGTTAATACGGAACCACCACGGGCTCCTCTCACTCAAGACTCCCCTTGGTGTGTGGTCACTCACAGGGGCCTAGAGCTCTTGGGGAGCCCCATGCCCACATGTCCATGTGGGGACACCACAGCCCTGGCTGCTAGCTGTTGGCTTTCATTTCTGCCTCTTGGCTGACTAAAACCAATAAATCAGTTGTCGGATAAACCAGGAATGTAGCAGGGACCCAGTCTGCATCAGCATTCTCATTCATTCATTCATTCACTCACTCATTCATTCATTCATTCAGCAACTGCCTGTGAAGCGCCCTGCATCCCATCAAGTCTTGAAAACAGCCCCTTCCCTTGCCCACCATGCAAGACGAAAATGGTTAATACATGAAGCCAGAATCTGACAACCTGGGCTCGAGCCCTGGCTTTGTCACATCTGGGCAGCCTGTGCCCCGGTGCAACCTAAGCCCCTGTCTCCAAGGAGGCAGCTAACACTGACCCCCATGTCCTAGGCTGTTGCCAAGGTCAGATAACATATAAAAAGCGCATGGAGTCGACGCTCGGTTAACAGGACCCACAGCTGTCTTCATCGTCACCACCGTCCACGCTGCTCTGCCTTTCTCAGATGGCCACTGGGGACCCTGAGTCTCCGGATGAGACCCCTGACCTCCAGGGAAGTGAGGAATCCACTCTGCCTCGATTTCCTGAGAAGCCATCAGGACCACGTGCCCTGTGAAGGGGCGGTGTGGTCCCCACGGGCCCCCTGGCCCTGCTGCCTTTCCTGAATTGGACGGGAAGCTGGAGCGTGCGATGGGGAAAGAAACAGGATACATCCTTCATCTCTCCTCCACTCAGCCCCCAGCCTCCGCCACGGCCCGCGACCCCGGCTGGCAGACATCTCTGCAAGGCCCCGGGGCCCCTGACCCACTTCAGGCGCAGGCCCTGTGGGGAGAGGGCCTTGGACAGCCCTTCGTAGGAGCTGGGCCAGCGGTTGAGGCTAGTGGCCCCTGAGCGCAGCCCGTTGCTGTAATATTTGGACACTGCTCGCTGCCAGGCTTCCCACAACATCCCGCCATCTGGGCTGTGTCAAGGCCAGGCCTGGGAACGGAGATGTCAGTGTCTGACGGGATCGCGGCTCTTCAGCAGCTGAAAGCCCTGGCGCTCTTGCCTCCGAGCAGCTCCTAGAAGGGCCTGGCTGGTCTCCACACGATGCGCACATCTGGGGCTCACTCAGGAGGGCCCGGGGCCCCGGCCCTGCTGTCCACACCCATCCTCCTGGAGGCCTCGGTTCCTCCCCAGCCCCACTGTGGGCCTCGTGCATCAGCCCCAGCGCCCACCACACACTTGCTGAGCACTCACTATGTGCTGGGCACTGCCTGGGTCCCACAGAGGTGGAGACGAACAGCACACAGGCCTGGCTCTGAGGAAGCGCCATGGAGTGAGGGGCCTCGGGGGGCAGGTGCAGATCTGCTCCACGTGGCAGAGGTGAAGGGGAACCTGGGCTCCTTGGTGGAAGGGGTGGCAAACCCGCTGCCCTGGGACAAGAGGCACTCTTGTCCAGACTGCAGGGCCCCTCAGCTCCCACTGGCAGAGCTTGACCAGAGCAGGCAAGTCTGAGCAGGGTCTGGGTGGGGAGCCTGGCTCTGCACAGTAACTTTGGGAAGCTGGGAGGCTTGGATTCCATGGTGGTCACATCTGGGAATCCAGGAGATGAGTTCGGAGGCTGATTCTAGGCACCCCATCATTGTCTTGGGGCGGCCTGAGCGGGGCAGAGATAAAGGTTGGGGTGGGAGGACAGCCAGGGCAGGTGGAGCACCTGGGGAATGCTGGGATCGCTAACCTGGGGTCTGTCTGCTTTGCAGCCAGCACTGCAGAGGCGGCTGGAACAGCAGGGGGTGGCCACCTGCGCTGGGAACCGCGTTGCCAACAGCCCCTGACCAACAGAGCTCCCGTCACGGCGCTGCTGCCCCCACGCCTCGAGGGACCCTGGATCTCCACTGGGTGAGACCCTAGGTCACCTTGACGTCAGGCCCCTGGGCTGGGAGGCTTCTCTGCGTTTCAGTGTCCATGTCTATAAAATAGGCACAGTGCATCCAGTTGTCCAAGAGGCCAGCTGCACAAGGCTTTGCTCGCCACCCCCCACCACAGAGTGATCCTGACCCAGCCACAAGCAGCAACTGCATAAAATCCACTTGCTCAACATATCACACACCTACCATACAGATACTTATTGAGTGCCTCGTATAACCTAGTACAGTGGAAGAAGAACTCTAAACAGGTGAACACAGAAATAAGTAACACGAACTTGAGGTGGTGCTAAGCTCTGCAAGGAAATAAAGCCGAGGATATGACAGTGAGTGACCTGGGAGAGTTTTTGTGAGGGTGGTCAGGGAAGGCTTCTCGGAGGTGGTGGCATTCCATTGAAGCTGAAAGAAGAGGAGTCAGTCACCCAGAGAGCCAGAGGAGTCAGGCAGAGGGAACAGCTGGTGCAAAGGTCCTGAAGCGGTGGCGCTAGGGAGGGCTCAGGTGTCCCGCTTGCCTGTCTAATTCTCTTTCTAAGCTCACAGGCTTGCCTGCCGGTTCAGGCACTGTTGTTGCTCTGGGGCAATGGGCTTTGTGCTCTGCCCTCATTTGTGGGGTGCTCCCTCTTGGGGCGAGGATGGGGAGAAGGGAGGAGAAGGGAGGCAGTGGCTCCTCCACGCCTAGCAGTTCTCTTCCTCCCCACCAGCCCCTTCTAGTTGGCCCACAGTGGGAGCAGGGACTGGGCGGACTCCGTGTCCGCCGCACTCTCTGAGGTCAGGGAGAAGCGAGGTGCCAAACATCTGCTCTCGCTCGGGGCGGAGGGAGGGGCTTGAGCTCTGCAAAGCCTCTGGGTGCAATCCCAGGCTCTCGCCCAGCTCCACAGCCCAGGTGGGACCCTGGCACCACTGGCCGGGAAGGGTGGGGACCGCTTGCAGGCTGCTCGTGCTTCGGGACAACAGCGTTCTGGAACAGTGCTTCCAGAAACTTCTAGAACCTTCTTCCTAGAAAGTTCCCCTTGATGCTTTCCAGATAGGCTTTGCTGCTTCCTGGAGCAGTGCAGAGCCTGGGAGCCTCTGAGATGTCCAGTGCGACCTGCTGTGACCCCTTAGGCAGACTGTCCCCTCCCCGGCCTTGTCTGAGACAGAGGAGGAGAGGGCTGAGGCCCCCCTCGGCGTGGGAGCCATCCCCCTTCACTTTTAACTACCGCCTCTACTGGCATTTCCTTATGGTTTTTCTTTACACCAACTTGCTTTTGTTCACTTAAATATATTCATTTATTCTTACAGCTTTATTGAGGTATAACTGGTGTACAGTAAACAGCACATTTACAGTGTACTGTAATTATTTTTAAAGGAAGCGTAATATCTCCCTGGATATGGAGAGCAGAGCCACTCGCCATAAATGGGAGGGAACTGTAAAGAGAAAGTCAATGAAAACAAAACAACATAATTAAATTCTCACTAGATCCGTTGCCTGCCGAAGGCTCCGAGTGTGCTCTCTCTGGGAGGAAAGGGAGCTGGCGTTAAAGACACACTAGCTCCAACAGCAGCTTCCTCCTCAACACAATCGGAAGGACCAAAAGCAAAGACCACGGAGCTGTTGCTGTGGGCGAGAGCGGGTGTCCTCTGCTCTAGCAGCCCGGTTATGAAAAGTTTGGAGAAAATACCAGAACAGGTTGCACCTGCTCAGAGGAACACTGCAAACGGGGTCCTGCCTGCTCTTTTCCCTAGAGCTCATCCGCCATCCATCCCACCTGAGCCCTTGGTGGGAGAGTCCCGGCCCAGCTGTGACGTGGGTCCCAGAGTCTTGTAGTTTCTTAGCGCCCAAGCCCACCCTGTGCTCATTGTCACCATCAGAATAGGGCCTGGGGGCTGGGTCCAGCTCATGCCTGTTTTCATAAATAAAGTTTTATTGGCACACAGCCATGCCCACACTTGCAGAGGCCTCTGGCCGCTTTCCCTCTGCGACCACAACCTTGAGTAGTTGCCACGGAGACCATCTGGCCCACAAAAGCAACAATATGTATGATCTGAGCCTTTCAAGTCCGTGGACCTCTGGTTTAGACCCACAAGCCTGTCACAGATGTGGGTGGAACTTGGTCGGGAGGTAAGCCTCGAAAAGGGGAGACGGGATCTGAGCACCTGTCACCCACGGTCCAGCAGCCAGGACCCAGGGCGGGTGCTGGGTCCTGGGCTCTAGGCCAGGTGCCAGGGATCCAACACAGAGAGAATGGACAGGACTCTGCCTCCAGAGCTCTTGGCACAGGGGTCCCCTAATGGTGCAAGGAACCCCTCTGAGTGCCTCCCAGGTGCTGTCCCTGTGCTGGACTCATCCCAGAGGCCATGCTGAGGGTCTGATACCTCCCAGCACAAAGGCAGGGGCTGGGCCATGGTCCTGGCTCGCATTCCCCGGGAGGGACAGAAGTGGGTGTGACTCAGGTCTTCCAGCTGCAAAGTCTGTGCACATCCATGGGACCCAGGGACCCACGAGGGCCATGAGGGAGCTGTCGCTGGAAGAGCGCAACTAGGGCTGAGTGGAAGGGGGACAAGAGGACTTTTGCTGAGGTCACAGGCATTGAGTGGAAGGCCCCCAAGCCCTCAGAGTGGGCCTCACTAAGATCACTCAGGGAAACTGAGGCCAAAGGGGTCCAGCCTTGAGCTGAGGTCTGCAATGGGGGCTGTAGGGGGAGGGAGCCCACCCAGAGGGAGAGGGGCTCATGTGCAGGTTCTCACTGCTCTGCCCACCCCGTCTCTCCCCCGACAGCTGCGAGGTGCGCCCAGGGCCCGAGTTCCTCACCCGCTCCTACACCTTCTTCCCCAGCCGCCTCTTTCGAGCTCACCAGTTCTACTACAGGGACCCCCTCTGCCGGGAGCCTGCCCACTCCCTGGTCATCAAGGGCAAGGTCCGTCTACGCCGGGCTTCCTGGGTCACCCGGGGCGCCACCGAAGCCGATTACCACCTGCACAAGGTGGGCATCGTCTTCCACAGTCGCCACGCCCTGCTCGACATCGCCAGGCGCCTCAACCAGACCCAGGCCGGCCGCGACTGCGCTGGGCAGCTGCCCCCTGCCCGGGCCTGGGTGCCTGGGGCACTGTATGAGCTGCTGAGTGCCCGGGCGGAGCGGGACTGCATGGCAGCCCTGGGCTTCACCATGCACGAGCTCAGCCTGATCCGCGTGCAGCGCCACCTGCAGCCGCAGCCCCGGGCCGGGCCCCTGCTGGTGGAGGAGCTGTACCTGGGGGACATCCACACTGACCGGGCAGAGAGGTGGCACTACCGGCCCACCGGCTACCAGTGCCCGCTGCAGAGCGCCCTGGTGAGTGGGGCCCTGGGGGGAAGCTCTGCGCCTGGCCCAGCAGGCCCTGTAGGACCTGCTCCCTGCCCGGGGCTTCATGCTTCCCCACCCTGGGCAGCCTTGTGAATTCTTTACTGTCCCTTAATTTCAAAGTAGTGATGGGTGGAAACAGTTTCCAGTATCTGAACCATTGTTAAATGAGGTAAGCAACAAAGTCAGAGGTTCTGGAGGCTCCAGGGGTTTGTGTTCGCAGTGAGAAGAAACATTAGAGCAGCGATTTTCAACCTTTTCATCTCGTGGCACACAAACTAATTACAGGACTTCTGTGGCACAACAAAACATATATTTTTCGCTGATCTGAGGGGAAAAAAAGGTATAATTTTGATTCATTCACACCAGATGGCTATTGTTATGTTGGCTGTTGTCATTTTTTTATTTGACAGTCTAAAGGAAAAGAGGTCAGTGCCCCTGACTAAATAGTCAGGTATTGCAGGTTTTAAAAATTCTTGTGATACTCTCTCTAAAAAAATAACATTCTTGCAGCACACTGGTTGAAAATTACTGAGTTAGAGGTTAGTAAAAAGGAAGTCAAGGTTAGGGCTCCGAGTTAAGAGTGTCTGCACTTGGCACCCAAGGAATATTCTTTGAAAGTGAGAATGAATGGATGGAAGGAAGGGTGAGGTCAGGAGTCCCTACCAAATGCTCCTTGAGCCCTTAGCAGTCGTCATATCATTCAGCATGTACTAGACACTCAAAGAACTAAACCAGATGCAGTGACTTGTCAAAGCACCCCAAGGCAGGGGCTGGGGATAAGCCCACCCCTCTCCTCCCAAGGCGGGACCTGGGGAGCAAAGAAAAAGCACTGGACATTCTCATAATCAGAAAATCAGTGTGAGCTCTTTTTGTAACCCCATAGTCTTCTCTTTTTGGCAGCCAATGTTCTAGACTGGTCTGACGTTACTCCTACTTAGGAGAAGGTGCTGGTGGGGGTTGTGACCGGAGCCCATCACCTCATTAGAGGGGAAAACTCTGAACGCAGAGAATGGGCCCCCTGGTGCAGACGATGGCACTTTCGTGTCTTCCCAGGCCGGGCTGCGGACTGTGGACTCCTGTCCCTCTGCCGCCTGACCAGCCAGTGTGGCCAGTGCCACCTGCAATGTGATTGAGAAGCAGAACACCTAGGGACGTTTGCAGAGATGAGTAGTGCCAGATGTATGGACATTAAATTAAATGTCCCCTCTCTGGGAAAGAAAAACAAAAAAGATAATTTCGAAGAAGGAAACGCTGCACTTGTGCCCCCAGGTAACACGTCAGCCAGGACCTTCCGCTCTCTGGGGCCCAAGCCTTGCCCCCGGCCCAAGCAGATGGTAAACGTGAACATTTTTAGAAGTTCATTTCAAACCAATTTGATCCCCAAGTTCATTGCCTGGATATAGAATCCTAATCAATCAGCCAGCACTCAACCAAAATCGTCTAAGCCTCGTGTCACCTCTGGGGGTTAATTAGAAGCTGTATGTGCTGTTTGAGAAATACGTTTATGTAACAGGCTTAACCAGGAAGTCTGGCTGCGCCTGCGGGCTGGAGGCCTTGTTTGTTAACACATCCAGCTCCGGACCTCTGCAGAGTGACACTTGGGAGACGTGGGAGAAACGGGTCCCTTCCTCCACCCCCTTCAAGCACATCAGAGAAGGATGTGCCTTTTCTCCCCCTTCTCTGACCTCACAAGCTTGCTCGGTTCTCAACTGGTTTCTGCTCTGCAGAGAAACGTTTGCCCCAAATTTAGCAGCCAGTATCCCCAACGTCCTGTCTGCAGGAGACAGCCCCGTTCTGGGGAAGGGGGCAGCCCTGGGGTCACGTTGCTGTGATGCATTATATTCTGGTAACACACATCAGTGTGACGACAGTCAGGATGTGGGTTAAAATGCCAAAGTTAGAGCAGGATCGCACCATGACCTCCCCGCGGCTAACTACCCAGTCTGCCGGCTTCTCCCCATGACAAACATTTCTGCCACCATTTACTAGTATTTCAAAGCGCCTTCAAGTACTCTGGGTCAAAACCTCAAAATCAAAACCAATTACTTCTCTACATTATGGAAATCAAGGCAAGTTTAGGTTCACCATGGAAATAAATAACAAGCTTCCAATGTGGCGCCTGAGAAAGTAAAACACGCTCTCCCCCATCCAGTCTTCTCCTTCTAAACTAGAACCCCAGGCGCCACTTATTTGGCACGAAACCACCCAGGAGCGATCTGTGGAAATCTTTTGTTTTTTCGAGAAAAAAACAGGAGCTGATTTCCTAGCTGGGCCCCAGGAAGCCCTTTCCCTCGCCCACCCCGCACACGCAGGTGTTTGCCAGGCCCCACGCCAGCCTCGCTCCGACAAGCGGCTGGTCCAAGGAGATTCACCTTTCAGAATGACGCTCGGGACTAAACTTTGGGCAGCAGCCTCTTTTTAAAAGACCACCAAGAAGATGTCTATATCAGGGTTCTTTTTGGCCCCCGTGGAGCTTTTTCACTCCAAAATGCAGGTGACTAACCCCACGCAGTTTGGTGTAGCATCTGGTTCCCGTTGATGTGTTTTACTGTGAAGCGCCCCACGAGACTTTGTAAGGCAGGGACGACTGAATAAGGCCAGAGAGAGGAGACAAATTCACAGCCCAGGCCACGGAGGGCTGTGGCTGCCCGAGACGTAGGGGTGGCCGGTTGGCCCTACTGCAGACGACACCGCAGTGGACGTCTCTGTGTCCCCTGCCTTGGCAATGCTTCGGCTGTCTCCTCAGCACAGGCTCTGAGCGATGGGGTCCGCGGGTGGGCGGCAGTTTCATCCCTGGGCCACGGTCACTTTCCAAGGACGTGGGAGGAAGGACGCTCACCTCCCAAGGTGAAATTTCTGGAGATACGAAGTCTCTCTTCTCCACCGGTAGTGGAGACAAAGACTCCTGTGAGGGGCGTGAGGCTCTCGGCACAGGAAGGGGATGGGGTCTGTCAAGCAGGGGTTCAGCTCGTCTCTGCCACGGCCTTGGCTGGCCACCTGGCCCACTGGGCTACCGCTTCTGCTGCTCTAACATGTAGCACTTGCACGAGACACACTTAGCACAGTTCCTGGCCCTTTGGAAGCAGCGGGAAGCAAGAGGGAGTAGAGAGAGTCTCCACTGGCAAGGAAACCACAATAAATCTTAACGGCCGAATTTCAGAACCAAGCAGGCTGGGGGTGGGAAGGGGCAAGTTCTGTGAAATCCCAGGACACGGGGCACCTCCCTTCCACGCCTCGTTCATTCACCCATCCGTCCATCCAGTCCTTCGCTGCTCAGCAAACTTGCTGCTGCTGTGAGCCAGGCACCGTGCCAGGCCCTGGGGACAGAGCAGCCACAGAGAGACACTCCCAGCTTCCTGGAGCTTGCGGGCTAATGAGGGGGAGGGCGGAAAGAAGGGGAAACGGGGAACGGCACATCTCCGGGCACCAGAAAGGCCGAGGTGCCCAGGCAGGGCGTGGTCAGGAAGGGTCTCCCCGAGGCCCTCTGAGCTGAGTCCTGGCGATGAGACGGGCGGCCAGGCTGCGTTGGGGGCTTCAGGTAGAAGGGACAGCGGGCGAGAAGCCCAGGGGGGGAGAAGCTCACTGAGGCCCAAGGGGAGCGAAGCAGCCATGGGGCTGCAGAAAGGGAGCGAGGAGGGTGGCGGGCGACCACTGCGCGCCCCACAGCGCCCGCCCAGGGCGCCGACTCCACCGGGACGGTCACTGACCTCTGCCGGTCCCTTTCAGCACCACGCCCGCCCCTGCCCGGCCTGCGGCCTCATCGCCCGCTCCGACGAGCACC